TCCTGCCAAAATGGAACTGTAGAGGAGAGTCTTCTGAACAAGCCAGTACCTGCCGCATACCAGTACTGCCATCGTTGAAGAGTTAAGAAGGTGGAGGCATTACTTTTCATTCAACCCTCGTAATAGTTTCAAACTACATTATATAGTCAGTGTAGACTAGGCATGGGCCAACTTTGGCCCTCCAGGTGTTTTGGACTTCAACTCCCACCATTCCTAACAGCCTGGCTGTAGGAATGGTGGGAGTTGAAGTCCAAAACACCTGGAGGGCCAAAGTTGACCCATGCTTGGTGTAGACCTATACAATGCATTGTATAGATCTACACTAATCATATAATGCATTATATGGCAGCGTAGATCCAGCGTTAGCTTCTCAATGAAAGAACGGATCTCTTTCCTGGCAGCTTCATCGATCGATCTGCCCTGGGTTCAGTGGGCTACCAAACCAAACTTTTGGGCTATCAGCCGAAGAAGAGCTTGCTGGCGATGGCAAAAAAAAGGGGGGCAGAGGACGGGCTCCTTCAAAGGGGAGCCGGTGGCAGGAGGCCGCCGTATCTCTTTTTCAAGGCTTTGGGCATCTTGTTTATATGATATCGTTTTTATATCTCTCGTTTCCTCCGCCCTTGTGTACGGTTTAATTTCCTCCCCTCCTTCTCTGTATGGCGGGATCAGAGTTGGCCCCCGCTGCGTATGTATCTATCGCTGTTGTGGAACATTAAATACGTCTGGTAACATCATATCTCTCTGTGTATGCGTTTTGTTTTTATTAAATGGAAGAACATAACAAATGCTGGACCTGTACTACCATATAATGCAGTTTGGAACTGTGTTATATGTCAATATAGACCCATATAATGCAGTTCAACTGAACTAGGGTCAGTGTAGATGCATATAACACAGGTCAACTGAACTAGGGTCAGTGTATACCCATATAACACAGGTCAACTGAACTAGGGTCAGTGTATACCCATATAACACAGGTCAACTGAAGTAGGGTCAGTGTAGATGCATATAACACAGGTCAACTGAACTAGGGTAACTGTATACCCATACAACACAGGTCAACTGAAGTCAGTGTAGATGCATATAACACAGGTCAACTGAACTAGGGTCAGTGTATACCCATATAACACAGGTCAACTGAAGTAGGGTCAGTGTAGATGCATATAACACAGGTCAACTGAACTAGGGTAACTGTAGATGCATATAACACAAGTCAACTCAACTAGGGTCAGTGTATACCCATATAACACAGGTCAACTGAACTAGGGTCAGTGTATACCCATATAACACAGGTCAACTGAACTAGGGTCAGTGTAGATGCATATAACACAGGTCAACTGAACTAGGGTCAGTGTATACCCATATGACACAGGTCAACTGAACTAGGGTCAGTGTAGATGCATATAACACAGGTCAACTGAAGTAGGGTCAGTGTATACCCATATAACAGGTCAACTGAAGTAGGGTCAGTGTAGATGCATATAATGCAGTTGAACGGATTATATAGTCAATATAGACCTACATAATGCAGTTCAATGGAACCAGGGTCAATGTAGACCTGTATAATGCAACCAAATGCATTATATGATCAGTACAGACTCATAAAACGCAGGTCAACTGAACTGGATTCAGTGTAGATGCATATAATGACGTATAACGCATCATATGGCCAGCGTAGACCCATATAATGCAGCTCAACTGAACTAGAATCAACGTAGACCCGTATAATCCAATTCCACTGAACTAGGATCAATGTAGACCCATATAATGCAACTGAATGCATTATATGGCTAGTTTAGACCCATATAATGCAATTCTACTTAACTAGGATTAATGTAGAACCATATAACGCTACAATGCATTATATGTCCAGTTTAGATCCATATAATGTCATTCCACTAAACTAGGATCAATGTAGACCCACATAATGCAACTGAGAGCATTATATGGTCAGTTTAGGCCCATATAATGCAGTTCAACTGAACGAGGGTTAATGTAGACCTGTATAATGCAACTGAATGCATTATATTGCTAGTATAGACCCATATAATGCAGTTCAACTGAACTAGGATAAATTTAGACCCATTTAATGCAACTGAATACATTATATGGTCAGTGTAGACCCATATAATGCAGTTCCATTCAACTAGGATCAATGTAGACCCATATAATGCAATTGAGTGCATTATATGGTCAGTTTAGCTCCATATAATGCAATTCCACTGAACTAGGATCAACATAGACTCATATAATGCAGTACCACTGAACTAGGATTAATGTAGACTCGTGTAATGCAACTGAATGCATTATATGGTCAGTTTAGACCTATATAATGCAGTTCTACTGAACTAGGATCAATGTAGACCCATATAATGCAACTGAATGCATTGTATGACCACTGTAGACTCATATAATGCAGTTCCATTGAACTAGGATCAATGTAGACCCATATAATGCAACTGAATGCATTACATGGCCAGTGTAGGCCCATGTAATGCAATTCCACTGAACTAGGATCAATGTAGACCCATATAATGCAACTGAATGCATTATATGGTCAGTTTAGACTCCTATAATGCAGTTCTACTGAACTAGGATTAATGTAGACCCATATAATGCAACTGAATACATTATATGACCAGCGTAGACCAATATAGTACAACTCAACTGAACTAAGATCAATGTAGAGCCATATAATGCTACTGAATGCATTACATGGGTCAGCGTAGAGCCATGTAATGCTGTTGATTGCATTATATGGCCAGTGTGAACCCATATAATGCAGTTCAGCAGTACTAGGATTAATGTAGACCTGTATAATGCAGTTGAATGCATTATATAGCCAATATAGACCCATATAATGCAGGTCAACAGAACTAGGATCAGTGTAGATGCATATCATGCGGTTCAACTGGAACTGTGGTCAGTGTAGACCTATATAATGTAGGTCAATGCAGTTAAAATGGCAGTATAGATCCAGCCACAGCTGTGTGTATCCTATGGAAGTTCATCCTATGCATGCCTTGATGCTTTTGATCACACATTTATTTACTAGACTCAGAGCACCGACTAGTGGCAGAAGAGCCAATGCACAAACCGAGGGGAGAGAAAAGCGGAATATCAACTTCCAAAGATGGCTGGAAGCTGCAGATGTGCAAAAGTGAACTTCAACTGGATCTAAACTGACATATAAAGCAGTTTGGTCATATAGTGCATTATATAATAATAATAATAATAATAATAATAATAATAATAATAATAATAATAAATAATAATAATAATAAAAAAATTGGTGGAGGCTCCTTTGGAGGCTTTTAAGCAAAGGTTGTATGGCCATCTGTCGGGGGTGCTTTGAATGTGATTTTCCTGCTTGGCAGAATGGGGTTGGACTGGATGGCCCATGAGATCTCTTCCAACTCTTATGACTCTATGATAATAATTGCATATTATAGATTACATGTTATATTAGCAAAAATATAGCAGTATAGTGGTACAGTACAATAGAGTAATATATAATACTAATATTGTGCTGTGCTAATAATGTAATATACATTATATACACATATAGTATATAGTAATAATATAATATGATGACATAAAATATACTAATACCGTATAATAATATATAATGTAATATAGTAATTCTATTATATTAAATATAATTACTACGGATAATATTATATTGCTATTGATAATATAATTAGTAAAATATAGCAGTATAGTGGCATAGTATAATATAGTAATATATAATACTAAGATTGTGCTAGGCTAATAATATAATATATATTATATACACATATAGTATATATTAATAATATAATAATATGTTGACATAAAATATATTAATACTGTATAGTAGATAATATTGTAATATAGTAATTCTAATATATTAAATATAATTACAACTAATAATATTCAATAATATTATATTGCTATTGATAATATAATTAGTAAAATATAGCAGTATAGTGGCATAGTACAATATAGTAATATATAATACTAATATTGTGCTAGGCTAATTATATATAATGTAATATAGTAATTTTAATATATTAAATAGAATTACTACTGATAATATTCAATAATATTATAATGCTATTGATAATATAATTAGTAAAATATAGCACTATAGTGGCATAGTACAATATAGTAATATATAATAGTAATGTTGTGCTATGCTAATAATATATATTATATACACATATAGTATATATTAATAATATAATATGATGACCTAAAATATACTAATACCTTATAATAATAGATAACATTGTAATATAGTAATATAGTATAATTATCAATATACTACTGATAATATTCAATAATATTATATTGCTATTGATAACATAATTAGTAAAATATAGCACAATATTGATAATATTCAATATTAATATTTTATTATATTTATTATTTATTATATTGGTATTGATAATATAATAATAACATATAATAATTGTTTTATTTTTGTATATTTGTATATTTTCAGTTGTATTGTAATGTTTTTAATTGTGATGGAAAGATAAAGCAAAGATATAAACAAATTAATAAAATAAAAAAGACTCAAAAGCTTTGGGAATCTTGCCTAGAAACACTGACGTCACGTCCAGGCGAAAATAGACGCGCACCAATTGCCTTCCAGCTCGGCGCTTGTCCAATCACCAAACAGCCAATCATAGCATCTTAGGGCGAATATTCTGTCCAATGACGTACCAGGCTTGCCTCTGGCTCCGCCCCTGAAGGAGGCGATGACGTATCAATTCGGGCCCCGCCTCCTAAGCTAGGGGTGGAAACCACGGCTAGGAGTCCTCCCGGGGTTGCTTCTGCGCGTGCGTAACACGTCTGTGTGACGTCATCTCTGGCTCCGCCCCCTCCTCCACCAGATTGGTTTGCCGGCTAGAAGTCCTCCGGGGTTGCTTCTGCGCATGCGTAATACGTCTGTGTGACGTCATCTCTGGCTCCGCCCCCTGCTCTCCACCAGATTGTGGTTTGCGACGTCCGCGCTTGACGGCTTTTCGTCGCGACGGTTCGTTTTACGGCCCGGCGGCGATGGCGGAGGGAGAGAGGGCGGAGAGCGGCGCCGGTGCAGGAGGGAGCAGCTCCGGGCGGCCGCCTCAGGAAGGGGAGCCGGGGACAATGGAGCGGGCCGAATCCCTCAAGACTCAGGCGAACGATTACTTCAAAGGTAGCGGAGGGGGCGTGGCCTCGCTCCCTGAGGAGAAAAGGGGCGGGGCCTCGGTAGGGGCGGGGCAAACCGAAAAGGGGCGGGGCCTCTAACTTCCCTGGCCAATGAGAAGCGGAGGGCGGGTTCTGCGTTATCTAATGCGAGGCAGCGATTGGCTAAGGGGGAACTAAAGTAGCCAATAGGAAAATAGGGGTTCTCATTGACAGAAAAGGGGTTTTTTGGAGGGCGGGGCCAACTGATGAAGGGGCGGGGCTTCTCATTCTTACCTCCAATGGGGGAGGGAGAGGTCTCTCCATTGACCAATGAAAGGGGGAGAATGGCAAAGGCGGGAACTAGAGTAGCCAATAGGAGTAAAGGGGTCTCCTTGAAGGACAGGGAGGAGAGCCTGAAAAGGGGAGAGTATTGGAATTGAAGCATGCATTTTATACTAATTATTTGACTTAAAGCCAAAGATTATATATACATATCACATCAATAATATTATAATTTAATGCAGTATAATACTAATAATAATACAATATAATATATATTAATAATATTGTATTTGAATTAAAACCAATGATTATATATACATATAACATCAATAATATTATAATGTAATACAGTATAATACTAATAGTAATACAATATAATAATATATATTAATAATATTGTAATAATATTGTATTTGAATCAAAACCAACGATTACACATACATATAACATCAATAATATAATAATGTAATGCAGTATAATACTAATAATAATACAATATGATAATATATATTAATAATATTGTATTTGAATTAGAACCAGCGATTATATATACATATAACATCAATAATATTATAATGTAATATAGTATAATACTAATAATAATACAATATAAAAATATATATTAATGATATTGTATTTAAATTAAAGCCAACGATTATACATACGTATAACATCAATAATATTATAATGTAATGCAGTATAATACTAATAATAATACAATATAATAATGATACTGTATTTGAATTAAAACCAATGATTATACATACATATAACATCAATAATATTGTAATGTAATGCAGTATAATACTAATAATAATACCATATAATAATATATATTAATGATACTGTATTTGAATTAAAACCAACGATTATACATACATATAACATCAATAATATTATAATGTAATGCAGTATAATACTAATAATAATACCATATAATAATATATATTAATGATACTGTATTTGAATTAAAACCAACAATTATACATACACATCACATCAATAATATTGTAATGTAATACAGTATAATACTAATGAAATGCAAAGATACAGAATGGGGGATGATGCCTGGCTCGAGAGCAGTACGTGTGAAAAAGATCTTGGAGTCCTCGTGGACAACAAGCTAAACATGAGCCAACAATGTCATGTGGCGGCAAAAAAAGCCAATGGGATTTTGGCCTGCATCAATAGGAGCATAGTGTCTAGATCTAGGAAAGTCATGTTCCCCATGCTCTATTCTGCTTTGGTTAGACCACACCTGGAATATTGTGTCCAATTCTGGGCACCACAATTCAAGAGAGATATTGACAAGCTGGAATGTGTCCAGAGGAGGGCGACTAAAATGATCAAGGGTCTGGAGAACAAGCCCTATGAGGAGCGGATTAAGGAGCTGGGCATGTTTAGCTTGAAGAAGAGAAGGCTGAGAGGAGATATGATAGCCATGTATAAATATGTGAGAGGAAGCCACAGGGAGGAGGGAGCAAGCTTATTTTCTGCTCCCCTGGAGACTAGGATGCGAAACAATGGCTTCAAACTACAAGAGAGGAGATTCCATCTGAACATGAGAAGAACTTCCTGACTGTGAGAGCCGTTCAGCAGTGGAACTCTCTGCCCCGGAGTGTGGTGGAGGCTCCTTCTTTGGAAGCTTTTAAACAGAGGCTGGATGGCCATCTGTCAGGGGTGATTTGAATGCAATATTCCTGCTTCTTGGCAGGGGCTTGGACTGGATGGCCCATGAGGTCTCTTCCAACTCATAGATTCTAACTCATAGAATCATAGATTCTATTATTCTCATGATAATACAATATAATAATATATATTAATGATACTGTATTTGAATTAAAACCAATGATTATACATACATATAACATCAATAATATAATGTAATATAGTATAATAATAGTGGTAATACAATATAATAATATATATTAATAATATTGTATTTGAATTAAAACCAACGATTATACATACATATAACATCAATAATATTATAATGTAATGCAGTATAATACTAATAATAATACAATATAATAATATATATTAATAATATTGTATTTGAATTAAAACCAACTATTATATATACATATGACATCAATAATATTGTAATATAGTATAATAATAATACAATATAATAATATATATTAATAATATTATAAATAAACATAATAATAAATATTAACATAGTGGAGAGCAAAAGCAGGGTATAAATAAACATAATAAACATAAACAAAGTGGAGAGCAAAAGAAGATTATAAATAAACATAATAATAAATATAAACACAATGGAGAGCAAAAGCAGGGTATAAATAAAGATAATAATAAATATAAACACATTGGAGAGCAAAGGCAGACCTTTGATCATTTTAGTTGCTCTCCTCTGGACACTTTCCAGCTTGTCAATATCTCTTTTGAACTGTGGTGCCCAGAATTGGACAAAGTATGCCAGGTTAAGAGGTCTCACCAAAGCAGACTAGAGAGGCACCATGACTTCCCTCGATCTAGACCCTAACTCTTTTTGATGCAGCCTGCAATCCATGGTTTTCTGCAAATCCTTGAAGAAAAGGAGATACACATTGTTGGACTCCAACTCCAATTATCTCACACTACAGGCAGTCCCCGGGTTGCAGACAAGATCGGTTTTGTAGGTTTGTTCTTTAGCTGAATATGTATGTTAGAACAAGGACATATTATAAGTTTATCTCCAGTCAAATATATATAGAGAGAGGAGGAGGGAGGGAGAGCATGCTTTGGATAGCATAGGGAAGGGTTAACACCCCAGTGGTGTTTGTTTTGGTGTCTGTATCCCTGTTCAAGAGATTTCACCTCTCTTTCTGTCCCTGTGAGAATTGGATTTTGAAAAATTTAGCTCATGGAAACAAGGATTGGTGATAAAGCTTCACCTGAGACTGCTTTTCCCCATGATAATATCTCTTCCAAGAGTGAACTTCCCTTCCAAGGGTTCAATTTCTCTCGCTTCGTGTTGTCTCAGTCCTGTTCTTTACTATGAGTCATATCTAAGTCGTATCTTGGGGACTGTCTGTATTGCCAATTTGGCCGTAACTTCTGAGAGCCTTGCAATATCTGGTGGAGGACTACTGACCTAAAGGGCCAAAGGTCTTGTTATGGGATCCTAGTATTGGTTTAGCAATACTCAGGTCCTTTGTATTTCCTGCCGGGATGAAATGTTGTGGATTCAGAGTCTGACCTTGTATCTCAGGCATGAGCAAACTTTGGCCTTTCAGGTGTTTTGGACTTCAACTCCCACAATTCCTAACAGCCGATAGGCTGTTAGGAATTGTGGGAGTTGAAGTCCAAAACACCTGGAAGGCCAAAGTTTGCTCATGCCTGTTGTATCTCATGTGACAAATCACCCACACACCCACTAGAACGATCTCTTCAGTCAGAGAGCATTGTTATCCGTGAGTGGGATTAGCATTTAAAGGCAATGTAATCTTTGGAGGTATGCTGTGGCCAGCAGATTTGCAGCCCTGAGTCCAGTAATGTCATAAAAGCTGTGCTGTTTCATTTTAAATAACTGTTGTTGCATGAAGGGTTGCATTAATTGGTCAGCCACCTTCTGTGAACCATTGCTTTGCTTTTTTGGGGGTGTAGCAGGAAGGAATTTCCTCCAAGTAAGCTGTCATAAACCTGTACACTCTCACATATATTATATTTCAGTTAGTAAGCATCCATTTTATTTATTTACTAGCTGTACCCGCCATACGTTGCTGTGGCCAACCTTCCCTCTTTCTCTCTCTTTCCTTCCTTCTTTCACTCCTTCCTCTTCCTTCCTTTCCTTCCTTCCTTCTTCTTCCTTCCTTCCTTCCTTCCTTCTGCTTTCCTTCTCTTCTTCCTTCCTTCTCTATCTCTTTCTTTCCCCCTTTTCTTTCTCTTCTGCTCTCTTTTCTTCCTTCTCTCTTTCCTTCTTTCCTCCCTTTCTCTTCATCTTCCCCCTTCCTTCACTCCCTTCCTTCCTTCATTCCCTTTTTTCTTTCCTTCTCTCCTTCCTTCCTTCCCCCTTTTTCTTTCTCTCCCTTCTTCCTTTTCTACCTCTTTCCTTCCTTCCTTCCTTCTCTTTTCCTTTCTTCCTTCCCCTTCCTTCTTCCTTCCTTCCTTCCTTCCTTCCTTCCCTTCCTTCCTTCCTTCCTTCCTTTCTTTCCCTCCTTCCCTCCCTCCTTCCTTCCTTCCTTCCTTCCTTCCTTCCTTCCTTCCTTCCTTCCTTCTCCTTCCTTCCTTCCTTCACTCCCTCCCTCCTTCCTTCCTTCCTTCCTTCCTTCCTTCCTCCCTCTCCTTCCCTCCTTCCTTCCTTCTTCCTTCCCTTCCTTCCTTCCTTCCTTCCTTCCTTCCCTTCCTTCCTTTCTTTCCTCCTCCTCCCTCCCCCTCCCTCCCTCCCCCCCCCTCCCCCCCCCCCCTCCCTCCTCCCTCCCTCTCCCTCCCTCCCTCCTTCCTTCCTTCCCTTCCCCTCCTTCCTCCTCCCTCCCTCCTTCCTTCCTTCCCTTCTCCTTCCTTCCTTCTTCCTTCTTTCCTTCCTCCTCTTCCCTCCCCCCTCCCCCCCTCCCTCCCCTCCTCCCTCCTTCCTTCCTTCCTTCTTCCTCCTTCCTTCCCTTTTCTCCCCTTCCCTCCTCTTTCTTCCCTTTTTTCTGTATTGTCATTTAGCTTTTCGTCATTTAGCTTTTTGGGGCTTTTTAAGTCCCTTCTGTTGTGTTTTTCAGTGTTTTTATGAGTGAAGGACATACATTGGGTTGT